TTAACCTGCGTCACTATGCTGCCCAAACTCTGTCGGCCTCAAAAGACGATGGCAAAACAGCAAAACAACAAATTTTTTCAATAATTTTTTTCACTTACACTATTTCGATGTCTACACATGGAAACAAGAACTGTTCGACGGTTTTATTTTTATAATATTCAATTTTCTGAATTCAGTCAATTCACCTTCCTTCATTTACGAGGTGCCCACATAACGGAGTTAAAAGAAATGTCTCTTAGAGCGAAACGGAACTAGAAAACTCTATCAACCATCAAACTTTTGAGTTTACACTTTGTGTTAATTATCATATTCGATAATTAGTCATCGAGGTCAATGCAAATCGCAGCCCAAAAAGGTGTTCGAATCAAACAGCAAGGCATACCTCTTGCCCATTCTGATATTACCACAAGTCAAAGAAGTGCGAGCCATCTCGTGGATGGGGTAAAAGAAACTTGGGACGAATTCGCTGTTTCAGCAAAACAGCTAAGACAACTTTTTCAAGTCTCGAACCTGACACCTCATGAGGTGGATGTTTATATCTTACAATTGCATGACCGCTCGATCCCAAATATAAAACAATATTAAGAATATTATAAGTATTTTGAGGCAGCCAGCTAGCATTTTACCTCGAGTCAAATTTGTAACGACTTTCTGGGTTAACGCTGAAATGCTTGCAGCATAGAATAGTACACAATGAAAGGCAAAGTTATACAGACAAACAAATATTTCAGATTAATAACGATTCCGATAGAGCATTTTTAGCTCATTCTATAAATGATAACTCATAAGTTGCCTATCCAAACCCGGATGAGAAAGGAAGAGAATCAAGGACCGTGACGAAATCTAATGTAAAACGTAGCGACCTGCGCTTCATAGTATCGCCATCATCGAACGGCACAATAGTTCCATCGTCGCCGGGGATACCAAGAGCAGCGCTTACTATTGGGGAGACGATGTACGCCCGAAAATTCGGTGATCAACACCTGCTTCCCGCCTTCTGCCAGCGACTAGGAATAGAGAAATTATCCATTCTGAATGGAGGCCGATAGCGAGAAGAAATTATAGCATGTTAGATAAGGCTGCACGGGAAAATACGGTCCGAAACTGGAATATCTCACAGAAGAAAAGAGCATGCGCTAAATAACGAGGACGCAAAGTACCGACTGGATACGATTGGATTCTCGCCAACGAATAGCCAAGGTTATGGAATCCTGAACCATCTGGAAACTATTCTACTCTGGTTTCGACTGAAAGGCATGTGCTCACGACAGTGTTGGTGTTCTGGCTGAGAGAATCACTGAATGGAAGGCTGCCAACGTAATAGTGGCAATCATTCGACTGAAGCTACAAGCTAAACATCAGATCTTGTTACAGGTTCATGAGTCCAATTTAGGGAAAGAATATGAACCCTTAATAAAGGAATTGGAATTTGCTCTGTATGAAGTACCGACTACGAAATACACCATTAACGAGCTCAATGTGCGTGTCAGAGCAGACACTTAAAAGTGGAATGGCGCAATTGGAAAGAAAGGCCTAGATAAGATTTGCACGTTAAAGTAGAAACTAAAGCAGAAACGAAAAAGAAAAATTACCGAATTATAGGACTAAACAGTTCATGAAATTTATACAAGCAGGATAATTTACGTCGCTAACAAAAAAAATATTGACAAAACTGTTTTATATCTTGAAAAACGAAAGAAAACAAAATTTGGGTTCAGTTCCTAAACTGTCACAGCACCAAGAAGATATAAAGTAAATCAACTTACAATGAAGAAAAATTAGGTATAGAAAGGAAGAATTTATTTAATAACTTGAGGACAACTACGAACAAAATACTAATGGATTCATTACCATAATTTTCTAACCCACTTAAAAAAAGGCTTGGATCACCTTAAATTTAAAAAAACCAGTTTTGCAAAACCTATATGATGACATAATTTGATAAAAGAAAATATAAGTAGCACATAAATCATTCAAAACTAGGTTTCAACATGCAATGCATCGCTCTCCCCTTCCCTTGGTCGAAATCGTCGGGGGGGCATTTAAAAAAGGCACGGCTGCATAGCATTTAAGCACCTACAAAGCCACATGAATCTCACGTAACTATGATCATCACCATCGCGATCTCACGTTTCGTCACGAACGATATTTCAAGAGCTGGTACTCTGTATACGCTGCCTCACTGACATTAAAATGTGTTCGTAAGCCGGAGTATGTGAAAGAGCAAAACTTCTCCAAGACCATATATTAAAAGGTAACATGCATAGGAAATGAAAGTTAGTCACTGTTGGACTGTCGGTCCTCGTTCATTTTCATGATTAGGCCGTTTCTGCTCCCTTCATTTTATGAAACTGATGGTGCATGAAGGTCTTCTGGCCCCGAAACTATCGATTGCTGCGGACGACCAACCACATTTATGAAACTTCACCATCAACCTGCCTTGAAGTAGGCACGTGGGACACGGGCCAAAATGTCTGTGTTGGTATGTCACCGAACTGACCACAGTATCGTTTTACGTTGTATATAAGTAAACCGTGTTTTACACTATTTTGCCAGTATGAACAACAACGCACGTAATAATAGGTATAAATCAGAACAGTCGCTGCCAAAAAAAGCGAATAAGGTCGACGAAACAAGAAAAATCCGTTTTCAAACGGTACAAATGACAAAAATTCACACAAAGTAGCATGTACCAACACCAGACTATACATCGTCAAAAATTAGACAAAACATTAAAATTACCGCAAATAAAAAACATAATCCGTGTCTTAACGAGTATTTAAAAAAATTACAACTAGCATATACGTAACAAACCTTATAGGAGTCGGCAAGGTACAGAACGTTTTCTACAGGAAACGAAGCCATCCGTATTTGCTACACATACGACTATGAAAATTGACAATATGCAAACGAAATTTAGACATCGATTTCAAATCTACATTGCTATGTGCTGATCAGTAGGTACATATTACTGAACCTGGGTGGTTACCAACGTAATAAGTATGAATTCTAGCTTTTAATTAAAGAAAGCGATATTCTCTCCGTAGCAAAATTGATTTTATTAAACTTTATAAAATTCTCAAAAGGCTTCTATTCATAAGTCATAGAAAAATTATATAAATATATTTCGTTAGTTTCAAAAAAAACATTCTTGCATGGAAACGAAGTTCTTCGCTATTTTCATGATCGCAACTAACCAGATTAAGAAGTTCTCAGATTCGTTCAACATTTCTTGCATTCCACAACACTATTT